CAGCAGAAATCTTCCTGTAAGTGTCTCTCTCTGATAGCTATCGAAATAAAGTTTCTACCTGACCTGATTCCAAATTCTACAGCGTGTTTTTTCCACGACAACTAAAAGACCATCCAAAGTAATGGTATGCGAGTTTGGCGGACATCACAAAGGTAATCGAGGTATCCTATGGGGTCTACGCGAGGTCCCCTGGTGAACAAGGTCAGCTGCTCGGGCCAAGGTGGTGCGGGAGCAAGCCTTCGAATGGAGATGGGCACAACCACCCTCCTAGTGAGAGAGTTTTTCCTAATAACCAACTTTGCTTGCTGCAACTTGAGACCATTGCTCCTTCTTCTGTCATCTGCCACCACTGAGAACAGTTTAGCTCCATCCTCTTTGGAACCACCCTTCAGGTAGTTAAAGGCTGCTATCCAATCCCCACTCAGTCTTCCCTTCTGCAGACTAAATAAACCCAGTTCCCTCAGTGTCTTCTCACAAGCTATGTGCCCCAGCCCCCAAACCATTTTTGTTGCTCTGCTGGACTCTCTCCAACTTGTCCACATTCTTTCTATAGTGAGGGGTCCAAAACTGGACACAGTATTCCGGATGCCGCCTCACCAATGCAGAATAGAGCAGAATAATTACTTCTCTTGATCTGCTAGCAATGCTCCTACTAATGTAGCCCAGTATGCTGTTAGCCTTCTTGGCAACAAGGGCACACTGCTGACTCATATCCATCTTATTATCCACTGTAACCCCCAGTTCCTTTTCTGCTGAGCTGCTACTTAGCCAGTCAGTCTCCAGGCTGTATGGGGGACATGAGATTCTTCCATCATCCTAAGTGAAGGACTTTGCTGTTGTCCTTGTTGAACCTCATGAGATTCATTTTGGCCCAATCCTTCATTTTTTCTTAAGGCCTAATCCTCCAATTTGTCTAGGCCACTCTGAATCCTAGCCCTACCCTTCTGTGTATCTACTACACCCTCCAGCCTGGTGTCATCTGTGAACTTGCTAAGGGTGCAATCCATCCCATCTTCCAGATCAAAATACCAAAATACCAAAGCCGAGGTCAATGCACAAAACAACATTTTGCGTAAGCTTGCACATTCCAAGTGGAGAGCACAGCCATCCACCCTACGTGTTACTGCCATAGCACTTTGTTTCTCTGTGGCTGAATATGCCTGCATCATCTGGGGATACTCAAGTCACAGTAAACATATTGACACCACCCTAGATGATACATGCAGAATTATAACAGGCTGCCTAAAACCCACTCCTGTTCCCTGCCTACGTGCACTATCTGGCATAGCGCCCCTTTACATCAGAAGGGAAGTGGCAGGTGACATTAACTGGCAGGTACAAGAGTCAGATGACCACCACCCATAATATGGCCATCAAGCAGTGCGCTGTCTGTCTTCTACCATACCATTGACCCCATCACCAGAATCAGCCAGAACTAACCTCTGGCAAACAGAATGGGAGAAACTAAGCAACAAAGCTCTTGGATGGAGCCAGCAAAGAATTACCTGCAGTGAGGAGTTAGCATCCGGCTCCAGCTCCATGTAGGGATGGAGATGGATGTTATCTACTTGGACTTTAAAAAGGCTTTCGACAGTGTCGCACTCAATTCTTACAAGCAACCTGAGTAGTTGTGATGTGGATTTTTTCACAGTAAGGTGAGTGAAAAGCTGATTTATGGGACACACCCAGAGAGTGGTGGTGAATGGGTCAGTTTCTACCTGGAGAGATGTTGGCAGTGGTGTCCCCAGGGCTCTGTCCTTGGAGCAGTACTGTTCAATATCTTCATCAGTGATTTGGACGAGGGGGTTGAAAGCACTCTGTCCAAATTTGCACATGACACCAAACTATCGGGTACAGTAAACACACTGAAGGGCAGGGAGCAAATCCAGGCAGATTTGGATAGACTGGGGAAGTGGGCGGATCAGAATACAATGCAATTTAACAAGGATACGTGCAAGGTGCTGCACCTGGGGAGAAAGAATCTCCAATACACCTATAGACTGGGAAGTACCATTCTGAGTAGCAAGGCAGTGGAAAGGGATCTCGGACTCTCGGTCGATGCAAAAATGACCCTGAGTCACCAATGTAATGAGGTAATCAGTAAGGCTAACCGCACTCTTTCTTGCATTAGTAGGTGAATCTCGAGCAGGTCTAGGGAGGTGATACTTCCCCTCTATGCAGCATTGGTCAGGCTGCAGTTGGAGTACTACACGCAGTTTTGGGTGCCGTACTTCCGGAGGGATGTGGATAACCTTGAGAGGGTTCAGGCAAGGGATGTTGTATGGTTGAGGGCCTGCAGGTAAGATCCTATGAAGACAGACTGAGGGACCTGAATCTCTTCAGCCTCCGCAAGAGAAGACTGAGAGGTGATCTTGTGGCTATCTACAAACTCATTATGGGGGGTCAGCAGGGAATAGGGGATACTCTGTTTACCAGGGCTCCCCTTGGGGTTACTAGAAATAACAGCCACAAACTAAAGGAGAATAGATTTAAGACTGGAGATCAGGAAGACATTTTTTACAGTGAGGGCTGCCAAAATATGGAATGGGCTTCCAAGGGTGCTTTTCCCTACCTTGGAGGTGTTCAAGAAAAGATTGGACAAGCACCTAGCAGGGGTTATTTAACCCCAGCGTTCTTTCCTGCCTAGAGCAGGGGGTTGGACTCAGTGATCTACAATGTCCTTTACAACCCTAGAAATCTATGAAATACTGGAAGCTACAAATGATAGAACCTGAAGACTGAGTGGGTCTTGGCAGTAGGACTGTACGAAGCTTTAGGTGGCGATTCAATTTGGAGGAGATTTGGCCTGATTCGGTGGCCGAATCTCTGATTCCGAATTGAATCAGGGGACCAATTAAAAGGTCTGAATCGATTCTGAAGATTTGGAGAGCTTTGATGATTCGGGCAGTCCTCGGTGGCTGCAGCAGGGAGCTGCAGCTGGACCCAGAACTGATAAGTAGGGGGCAGGGGAAGCTCCTGGTGCTTTAAAAAAAAGCCCTGGTACTCACTAGGTGCTGCCAGGTAGGGGAAGGGCAATGCCCACTGCCCCCCCTCCCCTGCTGCATGGGGGGCTCTGTATGAGCCCCCAGATCCCTCTTGCTCCCCCAGCCCCCCCCATGGCTGCCCTGCCCACCGCAGCCCCTGCCCTTTAAGAAAAAAAAAATAGAGAAAAGCCCCCACCACTCCTGCAGCAGCCTTGGGACTTTGGGGGGCTCCTGGAAGAGCCCCCCCATGTGGCACAGGGCAGCAAAAGCCAGCGGGGATTGCCCCTTGCTGGGCAGGAATCGTAAATCCGGGATTACTCGGGGTTTTTTTTTCTTAAAGGGCCAGAGCCATGGAAGGCAGGGCAACCGTGGAGGGGTTGGGGGGCTCGTGGCAGAGCCTCCCATGCAGTGTGGGGCAGCGGGGATCACCTCCTGCCCAGCAGCGCCGAGTTGGGGCTTTTTTTTTTTTCCAAAGTGCTGGGAGCTGGGGTGGGCGGGGCAGCCATTGGCCTGGCTGATTCCGACATTCAGCAGCAGTTGAATCTCCAAGTCAGATTCAGCTGAATCAATTCAGGACAGTGATTCCAATTGCCAAATCAAATCACCGTTCCTCGAATCCGAAGTGAATGCTAGCTGCTTCACACACACCTACTTGGCAGATGCAACTCTCTCGTGAAATCATGGGGCCTCTACGTAATGGACCACTGTGCTTGTCAGGAGAAGCAAACCGTGGATCATCTCCTGAGATGCCCTGTAGCACCAAAGCTCCCCCCAAGCTCTGGCAACACTAACACCAGAAGCAGCAGCCTGTGCTGAACATCGGGAGCAGACCATATAGAATGGGCGGGCTGGAGATGGGATGAAAAAGGCTGAGCGTGGTGAGGTCGAGGTGGGCTGAGAGCGTCATGAGGTCATAAGCAGACTGAGCCAGGGCTAGGGCCAAGGCTATTCGCCCCCGCAGCTACTTCGGGCCGAAACCCCGCCTCCCCTTCCTGCTCCACTGGTCCCCGCCACCTCCCCTCCCGGCCGGCTGCTGTTGGGGGAGGCGGCATCGGCCCCTAGCTCCAAGGAGCAGACCCGAGGGTCCCCTCTGCCTCCAAGGAGCAGCGGAGGCGGACAAGGAGAGCTGACCTCACTCCCCGCCCCTTAGTCCCCATGGTGGCTCTCCGCTGTTTGTCTATGTAGGTCACTCTGATTGACTGCCAAGAGGGCCAATCAGAGCGCAAATAAAGCTTATAGACAGATTTAGGCTTTTCTAATATTAGAATAATTCCTGAAGACCCCAGGACAATCCCTAGTCATGAGGTGGGCTGAGGGTGTCACGAGGTGACAAGTTGGTAGTGAGTGTGGTGAGGTCATGAAGCGGGCTAAGTGTCATGATGTCGCAAGTGGAGAGAGTGTGCTAAGGTCAAAAGGCAGGCTGACTATCAAGCTGTCATAAGCAGAGGGCGTGGTGAGGTCATGAGGCGGGGCTGAGGGCCACGAGCTCCTTTCCCAGGCGCGGCGCGTTGCCGAGCAACGCCAGGGTGGGCGCAACCAACGGCACCCGGCTGCCGAGAGGAGCCCAGGGCCTTTTTCAGCAATTTGCGACACGAGAGCTGCTTTTCCTGTGTGTAGTTTCAATCAGGACCCGCAAGCG